CCTCCTTCATTCCCTCCTTGTAGGGGCCTTCGGGTCCACTTTGAGGCCCAGTTTTGATAATCCGAACCGTTTATATTTTTAGATTTATTCAGTATATTATACCTGTAAAAAATCAAGTTGATCGGATATCAGAAAGTATGCGTTCAGAAAATTGGGACTACAAACTATTTTTTAATAAACAGTTTTCCGAACACATACTTTATGATATTCGATCAACTTGATTTTTTGCAGGTATGATATACTGAATAAATTTAAAAATATGAACGGTTCGAATTATCAAAACTGTGCCTCAAAGTGGACCCAAAGACCCCTACAAGGAGAGAATGAAGGAGGGGGCTCAAGGGTAGGATCCCAATTCCCCCTCCCCTCCCCTGGCCCCAGTTATAAATCGGCGGACTTTTCTTAGCTTCTATTTGTATTGCATTTGATATTGTAAAGACTTCTGTCCCTCTAATTATTATTCTCCTCTTCCTCATAGTGTTGTTTTCTTGTACACCTTTTTATTTTATTTTTTGTCCTTTTTTCGGTAGTCTTTTGATGAAAAAGATGGTAGGTAAATCAATACACAATACAGTATTGTCACATAAAATAATAAATTAATAAATAAACTATAATTAAAAAATATGAATTACTGCTAAACTAGTAGACTCTGAGCTTAAAATCAGGGGACTGAGCCAACCAAAATGTGATTCACTCACTACAAAAGATATGCATGGGAATTTTGATGATGCGTGTCCATAAATGAGCCTTACTAGATAATCACAATCCCTTATATTGTGTTTTGATCATAGATTTGAAAAGAAAAAATAAATATATAAATAAAATACAATTACATTTCACACATTTTTTTTCCTTTTCAAATTCCTACATAAATCCATGATCCAAACACAGTTTTAGAAAACCATGATTTCTACCAAAACATAAACAGAAAAATCCACGATTGCTTTAAAAATCACCAAAAGAGGGAGGGCTGCCAAGCACGAGTAAAAGAAGGCCAAGATATTCCATCTAAGTTTAATAAAGGAAAACACATAAAAAGGAATCATCTCAGCAATTGTATTTAACCAAACAAAATCCAAACGGAGGTAAGAACAATTAGTGTCCAGAAAACAAACTTTCCATATCTCACTTGAAAATTGCCCAAATATATTGTACATAGTATGTTTTCTTTTTTTGTCTAAATAAACTTCAAGCCGGAAATATATTGTTGTCTAGAAATCAGATATTGAGCCAAGGAGTATATAATTCCAAGAAGTCCCAAGATCTTAACCTTCATCACATCCGTTATTATGACTGACGGAAGATTAAGGGGCAATGTCAGCAGTGGCGTTGAGTCTGTCTGCTTTGTGTAGCTCCACACAAACCGGTTAAAAAGGATATGACTCGGAAATGTAAGGATGAGAAGGGCCACATTCTTCACTGCAAAAAACCAATCTGGTCCTCCAATTTCAAGGCCCCACCCAGAATTCCCATGCCAGATATCTTCCCATATGCTATAAAAGGCAGTGGATACCAAGTAGGCTGAAATGGCAACTGTAACTGGGAAATACCTCTGCTTATCCCCGAATCCAGCAACAAAATCAGAGTCCTGGTTGAGTAGCAGCAAGATAGGTGCCAAGAAGAATATTGCACGGTTTGATCCACCGGTGAGATTGACATTCAAGATTAGGCATATAGCAAAGCACATTATAGTACCAACATTACCAACTGCCGGCATCCAGGCTCCCTCAGCAGCCATCCTCTTGATCGTGAAGGCTGTCACAGTTGAGGCCCTACGTTGCTGCATGAACCTTAACTTTGCAGGGAAAGCAGCAGAGCCACTTTGACCAGAATGGCTATGTTTAATTCCACCCTTTTCAAGAGCCTTTTCTCGCATAAGTGACGCCAGTTCAAACTTAATCTCCAATGCAATAAGCATAAAGATAGCTGCATATAAACCAAGCAGAGATGTCCTTGCCCCCTCAACAGCAAGTAGAGTGGCCAGCTTGTTGTCTTCTTCTTCTCCACTATCCCCAAGTAGGTTTTTGATTCTCACCTGGCCTTCCAACAAATAAGTCACAGGAAATAGAGCCACAAGTAAAGCAAACACCCATGGTAGGAGCTTTGTGCTGGAGGCAGATGGGAAATGTGTGAAAACCACAAAGACACAGGTGCAGACCATTGTTATGACTATAAGGACATGCAATATAGCAGCCTGAAGGAAATATTCTGCAGCTATATATACGCCAATAGCAATCCCTATGGCAATGGAGTAAAATGCCCTCAATTCAACAATATACTTAATAGGGATGACAGAGGTTACGGCTGCTAGAGTGAGGAGGATTGCTGTGATAAGCAGCCATGATGGCCATGTAGGCTTTGATGTCATGAAACCATATATGGAGATATCATCGGCTGATTGACGAGCGGCTTTGATTATGTCAGAGTGATAAGTCCATGATAATGGAATTGGGGGCTGCAACAGAACAAAAAGCAGACCTGTTGCCACTATGAGCACCAAACATCTCTTAGCAGACTGCATAGAGAAGAAATAAGAGTCTTTTAGCTTGATCCAAGTACCAATTATTTCATTAGTTGAAAAAAATAAAATAGAAATAAAAGCTTGATGATTCCAAACAAGTATATAAACATGATGAGAAGTATTAAAGTAACGTAATATCTATAACTGATACTAATTCTCAATAGTGGAAGAGAAAGAAATAATTCCAGATTGTTGAGCAGCTCCTGCTATTTGGTAGTAAATGCCCACTTATTTTTACTCATAAACTCATCCAACTAAATAATCAGCATCCAAATTTCTGTGCTAATTCTTAGTTCTTACACTAGAAAATGTTCTTTTAATCAACAAATTACGGAAATTTTGATGTCATTAATCACTCAACGAAACCCATATGCACAAGAATGCATAACAGGAAACATAAATACTTGTAGATGCTCAAACAGATCCCGTCAAGCAGGTAACAAACTGTGTTTTGTTTCAATTCTTCTTTTTCTTTATAATTTTCCAATAGGAGGATGGAGTATTTACACTAGTGTCGGAAAAAAATTAGGCAACATAACCCAAAGAAAGGCAAAACTAGTACCATGACATGAGAGAAGTGGAGAGCGACTATTGGTACACAGGCCAATCCAGTCACAAGAATACAGGAACCCAAAAGTAAACCATCAGATGGAGATCTCCCGTTCCACCACTGGAGAGCTTCAAAAATTGCTTCACGACAAAACCAAACTGATAAAGCAACCACAGCAGCATGCACATAACCTTGCCAAGGTTTCATCTTTGAGGCTGCTCTTGACTTGTCCCTGCAATATTAGTGAGAGAATTACAAGTCTGATGTCATATAAAGAAAAACAAGTATAAGAATAATGGTCAGAAATGTGATGAAAATAACTAATAATTACTTGTAAAGAAGCAAAGGAGGAGAAACAGCCAATAGAAGAACAGCAGACGCCCATAAAGCAGACTTTGAAGCGATAAACAGCATTGCCACCTTTGAAGAGTACAGGCAAGTCAGAATCCAGACTGCCTTTGGTCCAATTCGGTTATCCACAGAAAGTCTCCTCACCAGAGCCAAACCCACAAAAGTAGTCAGGGCAACCATGTAGCTTGGATACATTACATCATCCTCCAACCCATAATAGTAAATGCTCGAGTAATTAAAGAAGCGATCCTCAATGTAGCATAGCAGCAGTACATGGCTGACCAAACCAACCTCAGCCAAGAAATGAAATTTTGGAGGAAGAAGAGCTAAACCAGGGACAGCCATTGCCAGGACAACACTGGCAACTATGAGCTTACAGAAGGACTTTAAAGACATGCCTGCCAACCAAATATTCAGATCCCAGAAATTATGCAGAACAAACCACATGACCATCAAACTCCCTAGGACGACAAAGGCAAAGTAAGATGGCAGACTCTTCTTTGTAAAGAAACGAGCCAAATAGAAACCAGCAACTGAAGGGAGTGGAAGGAACTGCAAAATAAAGGATGAAAACGACTTCAATTTGAAGCACATCCAAATTTATATTGAAATGCAAAATAAATAGTTTAATCATATGCATCTCCCTCTCAAATTACAAAACCAATAAACATCAATTATTGCCCAAATGTCAGTAATGTGTACTAAAATTAGTACTTTAATCACTTTTTCACAAGTACTAAAATTATTGGCATGGTATTATACAATGCAGAAACTGACACTCCTCAAAACCAACGAAGTATTTCATCAAATCACAAGAATTCACTTTACTTGCACTCCATCAGACTACCCTTTTAGGTAAAATACTATAACTTGTTCGTCATAATGACTCCATTTCTTTTGGCAAAGACACATCGGTGGAACCGTGAAAGGGTGGCTTCCACGCTAGAAAGTTCATAAAATTTCTTCATACACAATAGGATTCTAAATAATCATTGGCTCCAAAAATTATAAACAGTCATCACTGTTCTCTGGATTATTTCCCCATGTAAGATGCAAGGTTTATAAATTATAAACAATCATCACTTTTAGGACTCGTTTTTGACAGGATCGGTGGTGTAGCAAGGTGCCTTTGGCGAGTATATTTCCTATGGTTTATGCTATTGCTGTGGATGGGGAGGAGCTGGTGGCGTCTGCCAGAGTTAGGTAGGGGCAGTTGTTTGTTTGGAATGTTCATCTTCGTCGTGATGTGCAAGATTGGGCGTTGGACCAACTGGTGGATCCCCTGAGCTTTTTGTATGGTGTGAGGGATGGGAGGGATGGGGAGGATTCCTTGGTGTGGTATTGTCGGAGATCTCAAGGGATTTTTTTAGTGCCTTCTTTTTATGGTGTGCTTGAGGGGGGTAGTGGGGTAGTGTTTCCTTGGAAGAGCATCTGGGCGACGGGATCACCGTCTAAGGTTACTTTCTTTGTTTGGACAACCACTTTGGGTCGGATTTTGACCATCAACAACTTGAGCCGGCGAGGCATGTTCTGGTCAACTAGTGCTGCATGTGATGTAGGGATGGGGAAATGGTGGATCATTTGCTTTTACATTGTCCAGTTGCGTCTCAACTTTGGAGTTTTATTGTGGCTTTGTTTGGTTTGGTTTGGTTTGGTTTGGATGCAACCGGGATCAGTGTTGGGTGTGTTACAAAGTTAGGGTGGGGCTGGGGTGGGGAAGAGGCATAGGAAGGCTTAGGTTCTTGCTTCCTATTGTTTGCTTTGGTTGGTGTAATTGGAGCGAAATCGGCGTGTTTTTCAGAATGAGTGCCGTTCTGTTTCATGGTTAGAGAGTCGGTTGTTGATGGTGTTGCATATTGGGTTACGAGTTCGGTTAATCCAAATGTTTTGATTTTTGTAGATTTTGTAGAGAATTTGATTAGATAATTTTGTTTGGCCCTTGGTGGGCAGTTTTTTTATTCTTTGCATCGTCTTAATACTTTTTAAAAAAAGTATTGTCTACTTATTTATCAAAAATAAATAACAAAGATATAACCTTTGGGGTTGCAGAGCAATTTTTTAAGTATGCGAGCACATGCTAAGAGATCAACATCATTGAAACTTCTCATTGGACATAACTTCAAGGGGAAAAAATGAAGTAAAAAATTTCTCTAGCTTTGCTATGCTTTTAATTCTTAGTTTACAATGAGTGATTTCAAAAGTTAAATTTCAAGTTGTAAGAATAATTTGATTAACAAACAAATAAAATCTCCAAATGGATGTACCATATATTAGTAACAAATTTGTCCATCTAATTAAGAAACAATGTCAAAAGCAACTGTAGATTTTTGTTAAAACTTAAACAACATTTTTCCACTCAAACTTCGCTAATACATAAAATGGCCTACAAGTTTTATTTCACATTTCAAGCCATACACAATTAAGAGTATTTGTTTGACAAAATTGACACATACATACACACTGTGCTTTTTGCTAGCAGGCAAGCAGCCACCAACTCCATTTTGTTCGACCCTCATTTACAGCCACAAGGAAAAGGTTCTACAGATCCAACCTCCAATCAGGACCTTTCGCGCATAATCAGGCACTTAGATGTCCACATATAGGTGAAGGTATCACTCTCATAATAATAAAAAAGGTCGTATCCAATCACCAAATAATTACAATCTACCAATTTGCAGTAAATATTGTTTTAACTTTGTAAACATGACTTGCAATAGAAATGTTTTTAAAATTGAAGCAATATTTCCCCACCCCACCCTTCTTTAAAAATAATAATAAATAAAATGAAATGAAAATTTACAAGCATGCATATATAAAAGAAACTGAGATATTGAAGTTCTTGGTCCATTAAATAACAATGCTTCAAAAACATTTCATTCAAAACCCTCCAAACTGAGAGTTGTACCTCAACCTTACTCGAGCCTCATGATGCCAAGGATTTTTGGATGTTTAATAACTTGTTTAGGCTTATTAAAACATCCAACATATTCTACATGTTTATGGTTATCCAAATATATATATATATATATATATATATTTAGGGTCAAGTTGAGGTTTTTTTTTGGGACACATTTTATAGATTAGAATGCAGCTGGACAGGTTTAACAATATTTTATAAGGATTTAGGAGTCAATGACTCCAGGGAGTTTAGTAATTCTGCAAATTGCTAGACATGTGCTATAGGTGTCACTCATTGATCATATTACGACCCAATTATTGTTATTTATGTTGTATATAGGGTTTTAATGAGGACTAAAATTTTGCAGTAGGTCAAACTTTCCTTATTTTTTGTAGTCATAATCCTAATAGAGTTGGGAGAACCCAACAACCTATAAAAATCTATATAATTCTTCTATTCTATAGAGCTGAGTTTAAATTTATGTGAAACATCTGTAACTTTTGTGTGATACAACCTTATCTTAGGAGGTTATTCCTGGGGAGATCTAGGTGAGATTCCTAAATTCTTCTTCTTCACAAAATTACTATTCTTAGGATACATTCCAAATCATTAAAAAACAGCCCCAATTTCATCCATAAAGATCTACCCAAAGTCACTGAATCCATGCAATGTGGTCCAGCAGATCACAAACTGATGCACAGATTGAAGAATTTAGAACAAGAGCAGGTCAAATCCGTGAATTGAAGTGGTAGAAATCGCAAACTACAGATGAATTAAAGTCTAACATGTAATTGATTGTCACGTGTACATATTATGTTATGGTGAGCCTCACAATAATGCACGGGCTTGATTTGTGTAACAAAAATAAGCTTGCCCTCAGCAACAACCAGTAAACCACAGTACAGTGCTATTTGCTTAATACTTCTGAAGTATTTTTCATTTATCAGTATGTTTCGGAGGTGCTCCCGCTCTGAATGTATTTTTACAATGGGCACTCCTGCTCTACAAATCGGTGACTTGGGTCAACCTAATGAACCCAAAATTGTCCCTAAACTTTCCCCTTATTTGTAGGCTGTTAATTCCATACCTAAACATCTAAACATCATATAACTTTAGCTATCCAGAAAGTTCCAGCCATTATTCTCTGCAAATATAGTAACTTTCATGGCCAAAAAATAAAACCACAATCCACTCAGTCGGCCTTAGGTCAAGTTTCCTCAAGTTGTACTATATCACCTCCAATCTCCTAGACAATTATTTACCCAAATAATTTTTTTTGGGTAAATAAAAATGTATTATATTATATATTATATAACTAAATCAAAAACACCCCAAAGGGTGAAACATATACACGTGTCAAAAAAAGCTTGACGGAAAAATTAACCTCGACTATAAAATCCACAAGAGAAGAAAGGATTCACAAAAACAACCTTTACGCCAAAAATAAAAAGTATGCAAAGACTCGTCTTAAAATTGTGTACCCCTAACACCGATTCTTCAAAAGTAAGTGTATTTCTTTCCCTCCATAAGGCCAAGGCATGAGGGAGCAACCATCCAAGCCTTCCTTTTATCCTTCCTTCTACAACCACTAACCAACAATCCAAAACATACTTGATTGAGTTTGGCATGACCCATTGGACACCAAAGCCTGAAATCTTTTGCTATTGGGCAATGAAGAAGTAAATAATCCATCCTCTCTTTTCCCTATTAACACATACAACACCCGCTAGGTGTTCAATGTCACCTCTTCATCAAATTATCAGTGTTGAGAATAGAGTTTAGAGCTAATGTCCACACAAATAGAGCCCACCCTAGAAGCAGCTCCAGATTTCCAAACAACCTTCCATGGAAAAGAACCAAAGTGATAGGTCAAGTTGAACAAAGTCAATTTAGTCGTTGGGCTTAGTGTTTCAATACACTCGTCTTCTGTCAAATATTGGCACGTGTGCTACTAGTGACTTTTTCTAAGTGCACAACTCAAAGCGGAGGGACTGAATACAAATTTTGGTGAAAGTACAAAGGACCAAAGTGAGATTTTAGCGAAAATGTAGTGATGCTAATGACAAGAAAATTTCATCAACCTCATTAATGTCACAATTGAAAGTGGAGGGCCCAAAATATAGTTTTAGTGAAAGTTCAAGAATGTTTTTTAAGTGTAATTAACCGAAACATTAAGATAATAAGATACAACCAATAATACACATGGTACATCCATCCAGATAAATTTGTACCCCTGAACAAGATAGAATAGAGTTGATGCAAATCATACCAATATAGGAAATCCCACAACAACTGCTGCAGCAGCACTGACTAATACAGCTAAAGCAGTGAAGGCCAGGGAGCTGAAAGCATCGACAATCACACCAAGGGCATAGGCACCAGCTGCAGCCGCCCCTCCAAGCATGGTAATGGTCACAAGAAAATAATTCAACGGTGGTGGCACCTGAATGTAGCGGCCAAATGAATGGAAAACAACTCTGACCTCGAAGCAAATCACAACCACCACCAAAGCAACAGCACCATTCACCAATCGGATACTCCGCAGCTGGTGCTCGTTTTTAGTGACCCACCACAGTGCGCCTCTTGTGGAGGCATATAGTTGAAACAGGAAAGGAATGAAGAAGAGAAGGAACAAATCACAAACAGAAGCAGCGGAAGAGAATAGAACCGAGTAGTGAGAGGCGATGTGAAACAAGAGAGGCAAGTGTAAGAGAGTGAGAGTGTGGATACAACTGTCGAGCTGGCCGAGGATGAGATTGTCGTCGGGGACCTCTCCGCCATGGTAATTGAATTTGACTTGTTGTTGTTGTTGTTGCTGCTGCTGCTTGGATTTAAAAGAGGAGAGGCGAGGGACAGAGAAAAGCCAATAGAAAACACAAACAAAGACCATGAGATAGTAAGAGGAAGCGTGGCTCATACCAAGGGCAGAGACAGTAGCCCAGGTGAAGAGCACGGAAGCGGTGAAGGGAACGCAAGCGAAGAGAAGGCGCTCGAGGGCGAGGACGATGGTAGGATACTCGATTTGAATCCACTTGAACTGAAGGGAAGCCCATACGCCGATCATGAAGTTAGCCTCGGCGCAGACGAAAGCGGAGAGGAGAGCGAGAGGGACGGAATTGAAGGTGGAGATGAGAGAGGAGGTGGAGCTGAAGAAGAAGGCGATCTGAGCGGAGATGAGGGATAACCAGACGGCGAAGAAGGAACCGGGCTTGAAGTTGAGGGAATCGAGGATGTAGGCGACCATGAGTCCCAATGTCAAGGCAGCGAAGACAGGTGTGCCGCCGAGGTCGAGGAGAAAGGCGGCGCAGGGTACTAGGGCTACGGCGATCCTAGCGTTGTGGGCGAACGAAGAAGGTGAAAATCGAGAATTCTTGAGAGATCTGATCGAAGAAGAACAATTGCTGCTGCTGTTGCCGCCGTAAAATGCAGAGTTGCGATGGTTAGGGTTTCGTTCGGGGGAGTAGCCGCCGTTGAAGGAGGTGGTGGGGAAGGAAGGAGCGCTCATGGAGGAGGAGATGTAGGGACGGTAAGACCGAGGCTGGAGCTCCGGCGGCAACATTTTCGCTGGACCCGGAGGAGCTAGCTACTCGTCGTCCGGAAATTGCTCGTGTTGTGTATATGTGTTGAGCAAGTTTGTGTACTCTTCTTTTTTCCAGTCTTCCTTCCAGTTCCACTGAAAATTTGCCCATACGATACGAGTCTAACCAATTGCGCAACAAATAATTAAAAGAAAATTTTGAGTTACTTTTAATTTTTTTTTTTTTTTGGTTTATCGGTTGATTGGTCGGATGACTATTCGGACGGTCAAGTAAAACAATTATTTATCGTGATTGTCACCTAATTAGTTTTTTTATTAAATGACTGGCCGAATAATTGATAAAATAAAATTTAAATCATTCAAGACAAATTCGAATTTAAATTCAAATTACGTAAGATTGCTCTAAATAAAATGGGCTATAACCCTTGGAGTTGTGCCCAAACCCAAAAATTAGCACTCTCGACTAACTAGCCAGGCGATGGCCCCATGTTGAGGACAGCAAAACAAAACCCAAGCATATCATATGGCACAATGCACAACATCACGCTAAACATCAAGCCCAGCACCCTCAATGTCCTACTTATGGCAAGCCCAACAACACATGCTACTGTGCACTCAAGTCCAAATTGGCCCCGATCGGGATCTGTTGAAGATAGATTATAAATATAAAAACAATTACATTAAATTGAACATCATTTTCCGAAAGCAATCCCTCTACAAGCTCAACAACTACCAAACCCAACAATCAATCATATACATGGAGTGGTTGCTGTGAGTGAAGCATAGCAACCACTATTGTGTAGATATTGAGATTCATTTTTTATTTTATTTTAATTATTTAAATTATTCATTTTTTAAGATATATAGTATAGAATACACCTGTAAAAAATTAAATTGATCGAATAGTAATAATTTTTTTACCAAAACACATTTGTATCGAAAAAAAATAAACGATAAGTGTTATTTTAAATATAAAATTGAATACAAATATATTTATATGAAAGACGATATCCGATCAATTTAATTATTTGTAAGTATATCCTACATGATGTATCTTAAAGCCTAAATAGTCCTAATTATTGAAAATAGACTCGAGATGGACCTCAATGCCAACACAACAATAGCGGGCCGTGTTTCGCTCACAACAACCACTCCAAATCAAAATAATAGCCAATAATGAATAGAAATAATAACTTACTACAAATCTCATAATGAAAAATAAAACTTAAATTTTAGGGTAAATTACAAATATACCCCTTGAAGTTTGCTTAAGTTACAGATTGTTCACTGTAGTTTGAAAAATTACAAATATTCCCTTATTAAAAAAATTTATTTAACAGAATTAACTAAGAAAAGAAATTCATAATTACTCTCCTATATAATAATAAAATTACTTAAATTATTAATTAAAATATACTTATAACATCATTAAAAATTATTAATTGATTGACGAGTTATTAATTAAATAGGCGATTTGTTATTTGGCGGTGTATGGGAACAAATTTTTTAGGTTTATTTTTTTTTTTCACTAAAAGACAAATTGGTTACAAAACCAAAAAAAATAAATCCAAACAAAATATCATATCAAATCTCACAATCATTTTACTTTTTCTCTCACAAACATCACATCCAACCAAAAAAAACTCAACTATCTTCCCAAACACAAAAAAAAATTTCTCCAATAATATCTTACAACTAAAAAAACTTACAAAAAAATTCACTTTCCAAACACCCACAAAATTAGAAATCTTAGAGGGTGAAATGTAATTTTTAAAACTACAAGAAACAATTTATATTTTAATCAAATCTCAAAAAATATATTTGTAATTTACTCTAATTTTTATCTTGGAAAATGATTAATCCCTAACTTTCTAGATGCAGCGCAGAACTCAATTGGTCAAATAAAAATTGAAACCATGGCCAATAGATGACATGGCCAAAGAATGTTACTTATCCAAAAAAATAAAAAATAAAAAAATAAAAATTTGTTTGGATCAGTGTGATTACATTGTACTGGTGATCTTATCCCCTTTGGCATATAGTTAATATATAGGAAAATTTATCCATAAATCTTATTTTTTGAAAAGTTAAACCATTTAGTCCTAAAAGTTTTCTTATGCACCATTTAGTCCCATATAATTTTGGTAAACAACATCAAACATCATCATCAAAATAACATCAAACATCACAATATCATCATCAAACAACATCTGGGACTACCAAAGAAGAACCCTAACTTCCTCGGCGTCCGATCTCGAAAACCTCACTGTATTTCCCTCTCCCAATCTTCCTCACAACCTCATAATCGTCCTGTTCCCCCCATTCCGAAACGCCATGGCCGCAACAACAATTGCCCGTGAGAGAAGGAAACAAATAGTAACCCATCTCCCGTTCTCCATTTCTCACAAAGCCACAATCGTCATTGCTGTCTTTACCTAATAATCAACACCAAAAAAAAAAGAGACAAACCCACCATTAAAATACACAACTTTCTCAAACCCATATTGCAATAACATCAATTTAATAACAAATGATCAAAACCCATCTGAACCAGTGGTAGCAGGCTTGCGTTCGAATTGCAGTGGCTCCATAACAAACACAATTTTCCTGGAAACAGTTTTCTTGGGATTCTGGATGGAAAACGACGGTTGTGTAGAGAAAGTTGAGAGACCCACATCTTTCTGAACCTCAAGAAAGAGAAAGAAACAAGAAAATCAAAAATGGGTTAGCAAAATTTTCCCGAGAAAATATGGGTAGAACGTGGGCCATTATCCTTCAGAAATGGTTGTTTGTTTAGTGATGTATAATGTATATGTTGATGTTTGATGTATTTTTTTTTAGTTTGATGTTGTGATGTTGTGTTGTTAATGATGTGATGACGTTTGATGATGATGATGATGATGCTTGATGATGATGTTGTGATGTTTGATGTTGTTTGAATGATGATGTTTATGATGTTTGATGTTGTTTTGATGATGATGTTTTATGTTATTTAACGTTGATGTTGTGATGTTTGATGTTGTTTTCATGATGATGTTTGATGTTGTTTTGATAATGATGTTGTGATGTTTGATGTTGTTTTGATAATGATGTTGTGATGATGATGATGATGTTGTTTTGACAATGATGATGTTTGATGTATATACCTTTTATGGTCAATTTTCCTATAATGGGACCTTTCAGTTTATAAGAAAACTTTTAGAACTAAACAGTGTATAAGTTATTAATTTGGGATTTATTGGTACATCACCCTAATATATATATATATATATATATATATAATTTCTTTACTTATATAGATAATTAATTAGGTGAGAAATGGCAAGAAATGATAGGAGATAGTAAGAAAATGATTCTCATCAAATTTGTATTGTGTTTCTTATCAAAAGTAGTAAGATTTTTTAAGAAAAAAATTGAGTTTAATGAAAGTTTTCTAAAATACGAAAATTACCCTTATGACAAAACATAAATGGAAGGTTATTTTGATAAAATGAAATACAACATTTTCCTTTTATTTTCCCTTATTTATTCTATCTAAACAAGATAAGTAATAAATCACATTTTATTCTCTTTTATTCATTCAAACATAGTGGTGAAAAATCATAATCGATTTTTTTTTTTTTGGGTCACCTAAGTGAGAAACCACAATCATTTCTTTTTCTCATATCACCTCACTATCCAATCGGAAACATCTACAAATTTTATATACTTTCATACATTTTAATATATTTTTGCAGATTTTAGTATAACTTTGTAATACATATGTTAGGTTTTTGTAATTGACAATCCTGTTAGACAAAACTCTATTTAATTGTATTTTTATTCACTCTATTGTATTTGTTAGACTTATTTATTTTGATAATTTATTTAATTATGTTTTTAATTTATTTGGAAGAAAAAAATAGAATCAAAATTTATTTTGATGATTTATTTGAAAGAGAAAAATAGAATCAATATTTATTTTGATAATTTTATGTTTTAATTTATTTGAAAGAGAAAAATAGAATTAAAATTTATTTTGTTCTACTATTTCTTACCTAAAACTTTTATCCTAAATGTTGTTAAAATGTATTTAATATTTGATTAAATCAGATGTTTAAATAGCTCAAAACAAAGGTTCAAACAGCCCAGCACAGCAGCAAGCCAAAAGGTCCAAACAACCCAGCATAGCAGCAGTCCAAAAGGTTCAAGTAGAAGATATTCAAATTAGTAATAATAGAGGGGAAGATATTAAAATGAATACAACGGCTATAAATTCAAATGAATACAACGGTTATAAATGGCTATAAGTTTCATTATATATACCAAAGCCTCTAATGTAAACAAGTTACAAAAAAGATCAAAAAATATTCTTTGATCTAATCACTCACATCTATTCTTTGAGAAATTTTCTGAGAAGTGTTCTTCAATTTTTGTTTACATCCTCTTTCAGAAATTGTACACTAAGACGTATAGTTTTAAACCCATCTTTCCTGTGTGAGGTTTATAGAAAAATCAGAGTTTCATTTTTATATCTATCTTTGAGAGATAATTCTTGTAACTTTCTGTGAAAGCAAAACACATTTTTTTCAACCTTGTAAGAGTGTAGTACACTCAGTGTTCTTGACTTAGAAAGTCTGTGTAAAATCCGTGGAGGATTGCTTCATCTGTAAAAAGGTTGTTAGCACCCTGTGAAGCTAGAGAGTAGGGAAAAATCTCAAATGAAGCTTGAGAAGTAGACGTAGGCCGAATTGAAACCAAACCACTATAAATTTGTTTGTCTCTCTCTCCCTTATCTCTTTATTTTATTTAAATTGCCATAAGTATATTTCATATTTTTATTGTGCTAAAATCATTAATTGATATAGTTGTTAGAACACTTGTTTTAATTATTTTTATTTCATCAACTATATTTATTTATTGTGCTAGTCATAATTTTTATTATGATATTATTATTTTTATTTGTAAAAACTTAATTCATCCCCCCTCTTAGGTTGTCTTTTGGATAACAGTATTTATGAGTTATGAGAGTTTAGATGTGA